CCATGTCTCCAGCACTAAAGCCACTGGCTCCAACTTGGAACAGCCCCATATCCCCTAGAGAAGAGAGTGTGGCATTCACAAGGCCCCCTTTCTCTTCCCAGTGGTCAGGGAAGCTTTTGGGCATTTAGTGAGGAAATACCAGGACTACAGTGTGTGCTTCATGGAAAGTATCTTCCCCCCTTCCTTGCAATTTTGCTAGACAATACTCCAGAAACATTTAAGCCAGTGGGTCTGTGGCCCTTAATAACACCCAGAATTTCTTAAGTTGTGAAAACTAGCTAAATAATTTAAGAAATCACCAGTATCTAGAGAGAAGTCTCAAAGTTAGAGCTTAAAAATTATTGTAGAATTTATTTTCTTCTAGGTAAAATATAGCCATGTGTATTATAAATATTATATGTGCTTACATATAATATAGCATGTAGCCAGAGGAGACCTGAAACTCGACAGAGCTAGAACCAAATAGTATTGAATTAAGGAAACATGTGAGATACTCATGTTTTCTGCCTCCTCACCTGTGTTTAAAAGTTGGGGGTACTATGACGAATTTATGGTCTGAAAGGTGCCATAGTGAAGTTAGTTTGGAGTTACAGTTGGTAGCACTCGCCACTTTTCCTTTCTTTGTGTCCCTCACTGAGGGTGTGTTGCAAGGCATGGTGGGAGTTTAAGACATAGATAAGGTTTCTATAATAACCTTTTACTACTTGATTCTGTAGCATAAAACAGAATTGTTGGGCTGGAAAGATGGCTCAGAGGTTAAGAATATTGGCTGTTCTTTTAGAGGTCCCAAGTTCAATTCCCAGCAACCACATGATGGCTCACAACCATCTGTAATAGGGTCTGATACCCTCTTCTGGCTTGCAGGCATATATGCAGGCAGAACACTGTATACATAATAAATAAAACTTAAAAAAACAAACAAACAATTGTTTTGCCATCACACTTGAGGCCTTTTTTTCCCCCTCTCTTTTCTCCACATAGTCATCCTTAACTTATCTTGCTATGTTGTCTTTTAAGGCTTTTTGTTTGTTAGTTTGTTTCTCAGGACAGGGTTTCTCTGTGTAGCTCTGGCTGTCCTGGAACTGGCTCTGTAGACCAGGCTGGCCTTGAACTCCCAGAGGTCTGCCTGCCTCTGCCTCTGCCTCCTGTGTGCTGGGATTAAAGGCATGCACCACCACTGCCCAACCCTTTTAGGGTTATTTGTGCTGTCTTTTTTAATATAATATGTCTGCTTTTTTATTCTAAAACAACTTTATTCTCGTATCTGCCTCACTCCTTTTCCTGCACTGCTTGATGGTATGATTTTTGCTCATTTGTTTTTAAAACCCAAACCTACTCTACAGGTTCTGCAAACATCTGATCACCTCATTATCCTCCATCCTGTTCCAGCAGAAAAATTACATACTGTGATACAGAGGATTATGGTCTACTTTCTGTGTCACCTTGCTTTAATTAAGGCTTTACATGAATTTTTGAAACTATATACACGGCCAATTAGCCATGAACTACAATTCAGGGTGGCCCCGGCATGACTAAATGCATGTTCTGAAGGTGGGATTTGTTCTAATAGAGTGGAGAAGCACTATTTTAAGCCTTCTCTAAGAAACACTTTGAAGATGGCTAAGTAGGCTGGCTGTTTCTGGTTCACCTGGGTCTGTTCTTGTTGCCTTGGTGTGGTTATTAATCATGTCTCTTGGCTGCTGGGAGTCATGTTTGAGTGACAAGTGGCATTGCCACACACTTTGGGGAGCTTTCCTCCTTCTTGCCATCCTGACCATGCTATTCAGTCTTGGATCAGGGTGTTTTGTTTTCGTCCAGTCTTCTTACATCTTTTGGTGGTAAGGACCAGCTTTCCTTAGTCCCTTTTCACTCCTAAGACCCACCAGCACTCCCCTTATCTTGTTCTTGAAAAATCTAAGATGAGTGGTTAAAAATACCTTCAGTGTCTCAGTCTCTCCTCACAAATTGTGCCAATCCTCCTAATTTGTTCCTCTGTTTTTAGCATTCTACCTTAATCTCCTTTCCACTTATTTTTCCATCACTGCCTTACTATTCTGCCAGCTCTTCATACTTTTGCAAAATTAGTTTTCACCTTATCTGACTATTTGCACCTTGAATTCTCTCCAACCCCAAAAGAGACCCTGCTAGTTATCTTTGCCCAGATTCTCTTTGTTGTCGTGTAAGTCCTCTGGTATTAACTCATATTGACATGAGCATTCCTCAGTCCACTTTTAGATGACCTGTTAGTGCATTGCCCTTGAATCATACTGTAAATCACCCTTCTTTTGACAAACACCTGTAAACATTTGCTATTCTATGGGAAACTGCCATGTTTTCACTTGTTTTGTTTTTAAAAGGAATTTTAGCCTTGGCATTAAGATGTTTAGCTCCCAAGAATTTGTTTTAAATTCTCAATCTAATTTTTATTGTGCTAAAAAAGCACAACATTTATTTAAGTAATATTTATGCATTTCACCATTTTACCAAAGTGTGCCCTGAAGATCATTAGTACACTCCCAGCTTGCACAGTGTGCCCTGGGGTGCTCTTGTGTCATCAGTACACTCCCAGCTTGCACAGTGTGCCCTGGGGTGCTCTTGTGTCATCAGTACACTCCCAGCTTGCACAGTGTGCCCTGGGGTGCTCTTGTGTCATCAGTACACTCCCAGCTTGCACAGTGTGCCCTGGGGTGCTCTTTTGTCATCAGTACACTCCCAGCTTGCACGACTACTAGCACCACATAGTTCTAGAACTTTATCACTATCACAAATCTCATACCCACTAATTTCTCTCCTCCTCATGGCCCTGGCCCCTGCCTACCGCTTTCTTTTCTCTGTGGATTTGCCTGTTCAGAACATTTCTTAGAAATGAAGCTGTAAACTATGTACCCTTTGTGATAAGCTTCCTCCATTTCATATACTTTTCAAGGTTCAGTCATACTGTAGTGTGTCAGTACTTCATTCCTTTTTATGGCTGAATAATATTCCATTGCATGAATAAACTACATTTTGTTTATCCATTTACACAGAAGATCAGATGGGTAATACAGTAGCACTGGCATGTGGTGTGAATCTTAGCGGCCTAGTATGTGGACGCTGTCGCATGGAGCATGTTAAGGAAGCTCTGATGCCCTGTTTGGATGAAAGGTTTCATTTTCTCGTTCTCTTTTTCAGGGGAGGGGGTGACTACATTGTATTTCTTTTTTTAACCATTATATTTATAAATTTTTAAAAATATAGCTAATATTACTGGAAATAAAATATAGCTAAAGTTATTGAGCAACCCACCACTCCCAAACAACTGCTGTTGCTGATGCTTTTCTGTTTGTACTTCTTCCAACAGCACGGAAGGGGACAGCTGTCTTAATTGTACATGTCGGTTGGCTCCTTTCAAAACTTGTCTCTCCTTTGATCAGCTTAAAGCTTCTTCTAACCTTGACTAGAGAATGCAGTGACAGACTCTGCTGGCTCTGTGCTCAGACCGAACAAAAATGCATCAACAGTGATTGCTGATCCATGGTGTCGCAACTTGAATGTGATGCAAACATTTGTGGTTGATCCCATCTCACTGATGCTCTGTTGAAATCTCAAGATGGGAGCGTCTGGGGAAATGGCCACTGTGATGTTTAGCTTTTACCCTTAGGTTCATTCCTGTGCCGTCATGTAAATGAAATAGGTGAGAGAGTATAAGGAAATCCATCTTTTTCCAATAAATGACCTGTGAATTCCCCACCTCAGACACTTGCTCATATAAGAGTGACTGAGCCTTCCATGTGAGCTTTATGGAGGCTTTTATACACATTCACAGTTTGTGGTAGAAAGAGAATAACTTCCAGTGTGATGGCTATCTCAAAAATACCTCCTCCTCCTCCTCCTCCTCCTCCTCCTCCTCCTCCTCCTCCTCCTCCTCCTCCTCCTCCTCCTCCTCCTCCTCCTCCTCCTCCTCCTCCTCCTCCTATTATTTCCTGGTCACATTATATATTCCCTCCCCAGCAGCAGCAATTGGATAAAGGGCACCCCACCTGGTCTCTCTATGCTTGCTGTTTATCTGTTTCCTGTCTGGAATGTCAGCAGTTCACCCAGGCTCAGTGGCACTGGCTATATTAACTTTTCAGCTAGAACTGGTGATGCCCAGAATAAGAGCATCTTGCCAAGGACTGGCTTGCTGCGTGGGGCAGTACTGCTGATTCAGGGGAGGTGTGGTTCCATGGTGGCTCATCCCTGTTCCATTTCTGCTCCTTAATATTTGTTCAGCCTTCTGTGGAAGAATGAAGTGTTGATTATATCCATCATGAATAGATATGGCAAGAGATGTACACAGGCATCTCCTTCCCTCATTGAAACTGAGTTATGTTCTGGAAAGGTCCTGGATCTCTACAAGTAAGTCAAACAGTAGCAAGTCCCACAGCAATACCACAACTCAGCAGAAAGTTTGAATATTCCAGAATGTAGGAGAGATGATAAATTCCTGAACTGCTCTAGGGTCTGACTTTACTCATGTGGCTTCTCTGATTTCATTTTTCTTAACCATATAGAGCTTGGAGATGGCTCATCAATTCAGAGCAATGACTGTTCTTACAGAGGACCCAGGTTCAGTTCCCAGCACATACACGGTGGCTCACAATCATCTGTAACTTTAATTCTAGAAGATCCAACACTCTCATCTGGCTTCCACAGGTACCAGGCATGTACCTGGTGTGTACATGTATGCACACAGGCAAGCACCCATACACATAAAAATAACAATAAATACATTTTTAAAAATTAAAAAGATGGAAGAATCCTGTATGACCAAATGCATCCAATTATTACAAGGGAACCGTGTTCCAATGTTTGTGAAGAACTAACCTGTTGCCTACAGTGAGTCAACAGTGCTCGTCAAGGTTCACTGCTACTATCATTGTCCTGCCTTCTCCTGTTGTTGAATCTGCATGACTCATTGCCAATGCTGGTGGATGCAACCTGGCCCTGACTCTTTAGCCTTCTCTGTTTGTTACTTTCAGGGAATTTTATGAAGAAGCATGGTCAGCCTGCTGTTTCCAAAACCTCAGGGTAAGTTCTGGAGTGTTCAAGCCAAAATAAGGGCTGGGTTGGCTTTTCCGGCTGACTTGACCAGCATAGGTATAGCGCATAAATCTAGTGTATCCTAGTGGGACATTGTATATCATTCCTCCAGCATCTTCTGACCCAGCAGGCTCCATGGATAGTACCTTTGGCCCAGCTGCTAAATACTAAGGAAGAAGAGGTATTTGTCTATGGCCTTCAGAAGATTCTAACAATCAAGATAATGGATACAAAATTCAAACAAGGAAACCTAGAAGCATTAACAATAACTGCTGTCACAGACAAGCCCCAGATCTCAATGGCTCAACCCAAGCTTATTTCTCAACAAAGGGCCATTCAGTGAAGATTGAATGTGTGGGAACTTTCACATTCTATTCAAGGAACTCCCTCTGTTTTGTAGTTCCATCTCCAGGAGCTTCTGCACCTAAACACAACGCTGGGCCAAAGAAGAGGTCCTTGTTGGAGGTTTCAATGGGCAAGCATGTTCTTGGTCTATTGTCCAAAATACAGGCTCTAGGCCAGCACTCAGTAGAACTCAGGTTTAAGGGAGACTAGTAAATGCCACACAGTTGCATTTCCATGTGGTAGAGTGATATTTTCTAGTGCCATTGATTTTCCCAAAGGAGATAAGAGAACGTGCTTGAGGCATAATATAGTTGGGGAAACAGCCCCTAAATGGTTTCTGACCACAATTTAAGCAACTTAGGCAGGAGTGGAAAAATTGAATTGCTCCCCTGTCTAAGTCTGGATTCTCTGTTGATTTTCTTCCAGGGACAGATTTTCATCCCCGGTGGGGGAGACTCGTCCTAGCATCTGGGGCGAGTGCCCACCAAAGTTTGCCACCAAGTTGGGCCGAGCTGTGGTCAAAGAAGGGCAGATGGGGCGATTCTCCTGCAAAATCACTGGCCGGCCTCCACCACAGGTCACCTGGCTCAAGGTGAGGTTTTGTCTGCACAGACTCTGACCCTGGCCAGGATGTCAGGGATCTCGGAACCCTGGGACTAGTGAGAACCTTGCTTTCCAGATGATTCCTCTGTTTCAGTCCCAGGCATTTCCCCAAAGCTCTCAGTAGGTGTGATATGGACATTTCTGTTGCATTGTTCCACTGTAGTTACTTGGCCCTCTTATCTTCCCACTCACAAAATAGCACAAAGCTGTTGTGTAAAGACAGACCAGGCATCTCAAGACAGGGAATTGAATTGGGATGCTAGTTCTGACTCTATGGTTCATGAAGCATGTAATGATAGACAAATCACCTAAACTCTTGGAATCCAGTCTCTTTATCTTTGAGGTAGGAATAATGCCTCAGCAAGTTAGTGGGACACTCCATGTGCTTTACAAACAGTTCAAAACTGGGCAAAGTGAAGAGAGGCAGAGGAGATAGTGGTGCCAGGCAGTGAGAAAGATGGGACAGGACATTATGAGATGTCAGGAATGGGTGGGGTCAAGGCCAGAGAGAGAACAGATTTTTCCAGAGAAGAAACTCTTGGGTGAAATGAGTGGTACGTCTTGATTCTTCTAAATTCATCCTCAGAAAAAAAAGGGAAGCAAAGACAAACTGAATTAAGCAATATAGGACGCCTTCCCATATCCCTTCCTCAAAGAAACGCAGGTCTTTGGAGATAGTTTCCACACATTGGCTCCAAGGCTGAGTGCTCAAATAGTGATTGTCTTAGTCGTCTCTTCTGTTGCTGTGGTGAACACCGTGACCAAAAGCAACTTGAAGAGTTTGCTTGACTTTTGCTTCCATATCACAGTCTATCTCTGAAAGAAGTCAGAGAAGGAAGCTGGAGACAGAGGCTGAAGCATAAGTCATAGCAGAATGCTGACTATTGCCTTGCTCTTTCTAGCTTGCTTAGTTTGCTTACCATACACACCAGGACCTCCTGCCAGGGACAGCATGACTTATGGTTGGCTGGCCCTCCCACACCAATCATCAATCAAGAAAATGGCCCACAGACTTGTCTAGTGTAATGGGACTATTTTCTCTCTTGAAGTGGTTCCCTCTTCTCAGGTGACTCCACCTTGTGTTAAGTTGACAAACAAACAAGCCATATCGCTGTGGCCTGGAGACCACAGGACAGGTGCTGTGTACCCAAGCCCTGGTGTCCATTCCATAGGATTGGTGGGAGACAGTATAACTGGGTCAAAAAGAGAGCAGACTCCTGTTAACTAAGCTCCCTTCTTCCCACTTATAGGGAAATGTCCCATTGCAGCCAAGTGCTCGAGTATCTATGTCAGAGAAGAATGGTATGCAGATCCTGGAAATCCATGAGGTCACTCAGGATGACATGGGCACGTACACGTGTATGGTGGTGAATGGGTCAGGGAAAGCCTCCATGTCAGCAGAGCTCTCCATCCCAGGTATGGGGAGCTGATGCAGAGGGACCCTTTCCTGGTGCCAGGGCTCTCCTAAAGGAAGCTATTCCTTACATACGTGTGGCACACTAACATAACCATGCATTTTCAATGATAAAGTTTTCAAGTAGAAGACAAGGAAGAGATGGGCTAGCAGCATAGGACTGGCCTAGAGGAAGAGACCATGAGCTGTCTGTCCCCTTCATTTGTGTCCCTAACTAGGCCCTGCCCCTGTGTCTTCTGTCCTTTTCCCTAACTCTGCTAGCTTTTTCATATTTCTGACTATTGGAAGAGTAGGTGTTGCTGATGTTCTGCCATCATTCCTGCCTGAAATCTAACTTGTCCATTCTGTCCCTCAAACCACATGTACATAAACTGATGACATGACCACTCCATGGTATGGTTAACGAGAAGTTTTTTATTGTCGATATGAGGAGAGTGCAGCCAGAGGCATCTGGAAGAGTCCAGAGCAGAGAGAGAAAGTAGTAGACTAAACATGGCCAGCGGAATTAACCATGAGATGGGGGAAATGAGAGAGGAAGAGACAATAGAGTGAGCAAAGGAGTCCGAGAGAGAGGACCAAGAGTGTACATGGCCAAAATGTCAGGGTTCTGTAGGAATGGGAAGCTGGGGGAAGGGAAGCCCATGAGCTGGAGAGGTTTAGGGTAGTGTTTGGGGGTGAGAAGAGCTGAGAGGAGCCACAGGTACTGAGTGAGCCTGGAGGCCAGCATTGCTTTGGTACACTAATAGGCACCTCAGCCATTTGTCCCAAGTTTCTTAGACCTGACAAGATGCTCCCTCAACTTAACTTTTTCTACCCAGGATCCCCCTCACGAGACTGGACTTATCAACAATAGCTCCTCTGCCTCACTTTCATCCTCGGACCCTGTCAGTTCTTCTCTTGAAACCTCTCTGATAGCCTGCTTACAGTTCTCCTATCTTCCCCAAGTCCAGCCTGGGGAAGCCTGAGCATGTGCATGGGGAGGAGCAAACCCCAGTGCCCACAGATTTCACTGGTCACGGGAATCAGAAAGGGAAGTGACCTCATCACCTTCTCTCTCCTTCTTGCTCACTTTGTCTGTCGTCTATCATCAATCATCTATCTGTCTGTCTGTCTGTCTGTCTATCTATCTATCTATCTATCTATCTATCTATCATCTGTTATCTCTTTATTTTGACTTAAGTGTTTCCACAATCCACAGAAAGAAACTTGTATGTATAAACATATTTAACTGAAACAGGTTTCTCGGAGTCACCCTGACACAATCCATGTACCATGTACACTGGTATTTTCTGTTCCACCAGATACAATTAAAACAAGAAACCCCAGTGCCGATCAAAGAATGTGACTTGGCCCCTCCTCATGGGTCAGGAACTGTGACAGGCCTCTGGGCAAGGTTGAGCCACCCTTCCTTTATTTTCCATACCCTTGCATTTAAAAGCCACTCCCTCCTGATACACCTATTGACAAAATGATACACTACTGGGGTTTGTTTGAAAGTATTCAAAAACAAGCAGAGTAAGACAAAGAGAGATCGACAGAACTGGTAAAATGTTCTCTCCTCATCATGCTGGTGGCTTTCAGGTCTTGTAATGTCTACCTTTCTACTAGGATGATTTTGGAATTTTCCAAGATAAAATTTAAAAAGCATCAGACAGATTTGGTAAGAAAAGAGCATATTGTATATTTCCTGGGAGAATAAAATGTCACTTCCTTTGTATGTTTCTAAAGCATTTATCTGCCCAAAATTGACCCTTTTGCAGGGAGTACGGGGTGGTTTTAAAGGCTGAAAGCATTGGGTTTGGCATCTTTATTGGAGGGTTTGTTCCTTGCTTTGCCCTCTATTGGTTATGCTTCCCTCTGTTTGGTGAGGGGGGAGGGGAGTCCATGCCCTCAGGCCCCAGCTGCTGTTGTTAGAAGGCCTGGGAAATGTTTCTAGTGTGGGAAAGGTTTCTCAGCTCACCCCAAGCCCCAAGCAGGGAAGTTCTTTAATAAATGAAATCGATGTCACCTTAGCATCGTCTCTGCTTGGCATATAAAATAATCCACTGTATTTCTGCCCCTCTTCCAGGTTTGGACAATGCCACTAGGTATGTCTTTTCTTCATAATTGTTATGTTTTCCATCTTAAAATTCTCTACACAGAGCAATAGCAGCAGAAATGTCCTGAATTTTCAAGTCATTGTGCAGGAAGTAAGGATTGGCTTGGGGTCGCTTTATTTGGGGTGCTTTGCTTTTGTTCTCCTGTGGTAGTTTGCTGTCCAATTTGATTAGAGTCACCATCAGCATGGAAATTCTTGGAGCACTAGGTGCTTTGGTGTCTTCCAAGGCAGGCCACACTAAGGATGGCTTCACTATCATTGCAGGCCAGAATCCACTCGGTCATCTGGTGCACGGTCTTGGTTCCTTCCCTTCTGGATGTGAGGCACAGAGTGGGTGTCAGGACACTGGGCAGTGGGGGAGCAGATCATCTACCGTAGAGACGGGGCTTAAACTGCCTCACATATGAAATGACAACTGTGACCTCTGCAAGGAATGACAGAAAAATGCCAGTTTCAATTACTGGGTTGAGAATGCCCTTTCTGAAAAGTCCACATTCGAACTCAGACCTGGAAAGTGCCACATTAGCAGGTGATGAAAGCTCAGGAGGACATAGTCCAAGAACAATGTTGGAAAAGTCCCGAGAGGAGGTCTGGGGGCCCAGATAACTGGTGCATGGCTGTAGTAGCCTGGTGGTCTGTAGGTCAGTGGCTTGTGTGGCAAGAGACAGTTGTGTCTTTGTGCCATTGTGATGCTCAGCTTTATCCTTTTTAGAGTAGAAAGCTGAAACCTCCTTGAGCTTCAAGTAATATAACTCAATTTATGACTGCATTAGCTACTTAGAATTCAATCGGAGAGGGGCTTTGTGAGCAAGGGAAACCAGCCTATGGTCGATTTGAACTCCAGAGCCCCAGGGAAAAGAAATGTATCAATGTATAGGGCTCTGGGTGAAAGCAAAGGACAGGGAGCATCAAGGGTGACCCCTGGGCTCCAGTTTGGGACATCGAACAAACTGCAATACTTTGCTATTAACCTTCATCTGTGGGCTTTGTTATACTTGACATCTGTATCATGGTGGGTAACATTTGCAAGTAACCAGATAACCACCCTGCCCCTGTTTCCCTCTCCCCTCCTGACCCTCATTGCCACACAGGTCGTTTGTGAGAGAAACCAAGGCCCCCAGTCCAGACATCAGGAAGGAGGTGACCAATGGAATCTCCAAGGACCCAGAAACTGTAGCCGAAAGCAAAAACTGTTCAAGCCCCCAGAGGAGTGTTTCCTCAGCCTGGGCCACAAACAGCCATCTGAAGTCCCTGCAGGAGCCCAAGCTGAAGCTGTGTGAGGAAATGCCCAGAAAGGCCCTGCAGTCCTCAGTCTTGCAGAAGACTTCCAGCACCATCACCCTGCAGGCTACAAAAGTCCAGCCAGAAGCCAGAGTACCAGGCTTTGGTGCCTTCTCTCCTTCTGGAGAAGAAAGGAAAAGTCTGGCTGCCCGTCAGCCAGCCACACTCCCTACCAGACAGTGTGGCCTGGGAGGTGCAGTTGGGAACAAGTTTGTTACCAGGAACATTGCCATAGAGAGTCAAAGGGAGTCAGCATTCCCCAAATTTGAAAGTCAGCCTCAAAGCCAAGAAGTCACTGAGGATCAAACAGTCAAGTTCGTCTGTGAGGGTGAGTAGAGCTGCTTAAGGTGCTGGTTCTTAAAATGTAGCCCCTTAACAACTATTCCCTTCCTTCAGTGTACATCCGTCTGCAACTCCTGTATCTATGCATCTACTTAAACTAGGTCCCCCAGGAGCTACTTTCCAGGGTCTTCTCGTTAGGAAGCTCCCAGTCTCTAAAGCCTTCAGAGTTGCCTCTTTCCTCCTTATGAAATAGAGCATTGATCCTATGCTGTATCTCGTCCCTTGGCATATTCATCATCACAGACACACTGCAGGCCCCTTCTTCTCTGTCCTCTTTTTCTCATTGTTCCTGTCTCCCCTGGAAAATTGTCCCATCACCACCTCTGTCCTCCACCTCAGGACCCTGACTCACAGGACATCTACCTGGTGAGTGCAGGATCCCAGGAGAAGAGGCAGGCTGGGAAGTAGGAAATCAGTTCCCACCTAGCCTGAGTTCTTCCCTCCCCGTCAGTCTCTCCCCATCCCCCCTTAACAAGCACACAGTGCTCCAATGCTCTGTTTCAATGCATATGTTCCACACGTGGCCCTATAGTTTCAGGGATACCAAAGCCTGAAGTGGTCTGGTTCCTGGAAGGCATCCCTGTGAGGAGACGAGAAGGCGTCACTGAGATTTATGAAGATGGTGCCTCCCATTACCTCTGCCTACGGAGAGCCCGGATGAGAGACAGTGGGAGATACAGCTGCACAGCATCCAATAGCCTCGGCCAGGTGTCCTGCAGCTGGACCCTCCTGGTGGAACGTGAGTACATCCTTCCCGGTGGATTCTCTGTGTGGTGGCTTTCACAGGTGATTTCCTCGCCTCAGGCAGTTCAGGTCCTACAGTGTCACATCCTAGTCTGCAACTGTCATCGTCACCTACAGGCGGAGAGAAAAGTCACTGCTCCCACCCTCTGATTCTTAATCAGATGTTTATTGCAAAGTCACCTCAAAACAGACACTCCCCAGTCCATGCCAAGGCCAGTTGACAGCTATATTTTTTTAGGTTCCTCAGCTGTGCCATGACTCAGCTCTAACCACAGAGAATGAGCAGTCACTAAATATACAGGCCTAAAGAAATATGAGATGATGGGGTGCTATGCCTTTTATGTTTGTTTAGTGTCTGTTTATAGAAGCAATGCATGTTCATTGTACAGGATTCAAGCCATATATAATCTACTGGCTCCAAAATAAATATTTAATGCCTTTCAAACAAAATCAGTATTGTGCTTGTTTGAATCCTGCTTTCCATCCTGTTTCACTCGTGTAACACAAACCTCTTTCTATATTATTGAATATTTTTGAAGGCATAATTTTTAGTAGCCATATACTATTGTGAGAGTGGACATGGGTAATTTCGGGTCTTCTCATTTTGTTGACTGTTTCTGTTGTTGTCATTTCCCCAATGTTATAGAAAAGCCATGATAAATTGTACTGGGCAGGCAGCTCGGTGCTTGTGTAGCTTGCATGAGTTCCGGGTTTTGATATCTAGCACCAGAACAAAAGAAGAGGGAGGAAGGAAGTCGGTCAGTAAGTCAGTCTATGCTTCCATTTGCTTTTGTTTAAAATTTCTTTCTGGGCCTGGTGAGAAGACTCAGTGGCCAAACGAGCTTGTTGTCATGGCTGATAATCTGAGTCCAGTCCCCAGAATACACACAGTGGGAGGGAGAGAAGCAACTCCCACAAGTGTCCCTGACCTCTTTATTCTTGCCATGCCATGTGCACTCTACATGCACACACATGCACACAGACATACACAACACTGAGTAAATTTAATTTTTAAAACATTTTCCCTCTTAAATGCATAATACACAATTGTGGGCCCTAGGTCCATGTCAGACCATTGATAACTCTATTAAATGAAAACCCCAGGAGTAGAATTGCCAAGTAGAATACCCCCAGTTGGGAGCTCTATGGGACCAAACAACTTTGCCAGTTTATTTTAACAAATGAATTGCAAGAAAAGTAGAAGGGAGGGAGAGAAACATGGTACAAATGTTTAGATTAAAGGTTATAAAAAACATCAAGACTGAGAGTTTGCCGACTTCGAACAGTTCTGACTGAAACAATTTTTAAAAGTTTTTGTGAGAGGGACAGCAGTTGCTTAAGGTGCAGCCACTAGATTGCATGCAAAAGTTTTTGTGAGAGATCAGAAAAACGTAGACATTAACAAGATAAGAGACACATGGTGCTATTTAAGGTTGTGATGATGATCTCAAGGTTTCTTTTTAACTTATCCTCTAGTGAAATTTATGATTTCTTGTATTTACCCTAAAAGTACTTCACAATTGGGTGGTATGGACAAGAATACTAACAAAACAATGTTCGTATGTAAAAATGGAAGTGAGTGTCAGCTACACAGGGGTTCACTGCATTTTACTCTCTACTTTCGTGTGTGTCTAAAATCTCCACAGGAAATAACTCAGTTTAAGAGGGTGTCGAGGTCCTCTAGAACTAGAGTGACATGCAGTTGTGAGCCATCTGTCCTAGGTACTAGGGACTGAACCTGGATCCTCTGAAAGAGCAGTCAGTGCTCTTAACTACTCGGCCATCTCTCTAGCTCCTTTGCTTGCCTCTTTACTGAGCTTTAACTGTGCTGGTGAATTTCTTTACAAGGAATGTTATCTATTCCTTTTGGAGATGGAGTACCTGTGGGCAGAGACGCCAGGCCCAGGAGCTCTTGCTTCATCAGCTGGTCCAGGCTCCATGTGTTGTTGGGGTAGATGTGTGCCTTCAGGGCTACCAGAGGTGAATGGGATGTCTGGAGAGCCTAGATTCTCCTCTGGCTTTGCCTGCTGTGAATCTACATCTTAGGGGAAACTTTTTTTTTTTTTTTTTTGCTTGTTTACATCTTGGGGAAGTTTGTTTCTTACCAAGATCCTATCATTATTTTATTATTGCTGTTGGTTTGTGTGGTAGGCAATTTTGAGACATAATTCATATAACACAAAAGTCACCCTTTGAAGTTTGTAATGCAGTGACTTTTAACACATTTACAGAATTGTATGTCCACCAGGATCTAAATTTAGACAGTCACTCTGAAACCCTACCCATCATCAGACATTGCAGTTCCCACGGCCCCAGCCCCCAATGCTCATTATTTATTTTTCTGTCTCTATGGATTTGCCTATTCAGCACTTTATTCGCCTTTCTTTCTTGCTGAATAACAGTCATCTGTCTGGATCCACTTGTTTGTCCAGTCGTCGGTAGAAGGATGCTTGGTGTGTTTCTGCTTTTCAGCCATTTTTTTTTACTTTACTTTTTAAATTTTTCATATATGAGTACACTGCATTTACACGATTATGCTGCACCCTCTCCTGCTCCTGTGGCAGAACAGATTACCATGCACAGGATTGGGGAGAAATCACATGAGAAACCGATAATCCAGGGTCAGCACTCCAAGCATCCAATCTCAGCTGCCCTCCTAGACCTGACTGGAACCCAGAGAGCACAAGCCTGTCTTTCCTCCCAAACCAAAATCCCACACGCCCACATATGCACCTGTGACCACACCCAAGTGGGTGTGGTCATCGAGACAGGTGCCTAGTAAGGTATCTCACTACAATTCCCCTTTTAGTCTAAAGAAAAGATTTAGACCTGATACAAAACTATATACAAAGATAGCAAATATCAAGTATGCACTAGGAGAAGGAAAGGTAAGAACATACACCCTCAAGATCTATCATCAGTGAAGCAACTAGAGCAAATGGCAATAACAGAGATCACTATAGAACTGTTCTAAGCTGGATAGTTTAAGTCTTGTACCTAATATTTCTAGGGAGAGAGAACAATAATTGTGACAGTCTAATCTTCAATCTCAGCAAGGACCTGAGAAGGAAGATAATAATACTAGGGTAGGCAGAAAGTGCAGGTGAGCAACTTCCAAAGGTGCAGCGAAGACAGAAACAGCAGGCTACCTGGACAGTCACCCAAAGTCTCACAGCAGCATAGGAACAACCAGCTTTGGCTAAGGCCTGGAGTATCTGACTGACCAACACAGAAGCAGAGAGGTAGAAAGGCTGTCTTACCCTGACTTGGCAAGGTTTAGCAGTCTTCTAATTTCTCTCCTGCAAGCACAGTAGGACAGCATGTCCAAAGTCAGCAGTGGATTTGGGGGCAGTTCTTTGCCCAAGAGGCCATTGGCCGAGGAGAGAATGGACTCCAGAAGAAGTGTCATCAGTGCCCAACATATTCTCGGGAATAGCATGGTGCTGTCAGGACCAATTGTGTCTCATGACAACAGAGTACTAATATTAAAACATTTAAATGTCATATTCTGCAGGTCTATGGAGTGTTTGAAGATCAAAATCTATGTCTGAATAATCTCATAGATATAAGAAATGTGGGTGAAAATATCTGTAATTCTCGGGAACCTAGTTGTACAATGGCTGAGGCTTCCCAAAATAATTTAGCAAGGACCATGATTACAGCAATATAACTATATACACACATATATGTGAATCTCTAAAACAGAGGTAGAATTGAAATGCCTTGACCAGAGGTAGAATTGTATAGTGCAACATGATAAAAAATATCCTAAATTGTGTCAATATACAAAATATCTTAAACATATGTAAAGGCATATATACATAGAATATGATAAGGATATTTGTGCACCAAACATCGTAAATAGAAGGAAGCCCTTACACAATATGACAAAATATAATATACAAATTACCTGAGAAAGGAATACAAGCTTGACTGTACGTAAGTTACATCATACGAGAATCTATAACAATGCAAGTTGTCTATAGCTAATAATTACTAAGGTAGTTCACAAGAAGATATGCTAAATCTACCTATATCCCATCCTAACCATACCTTTCCCATCTGAAACCTAAACTTATCTAAAAGAGATACCCAAGTCTGAACACCCCCTTCCATACCCAACCATAAACAACTAAAAACCAACCCTATGCAGGTGACAGACTGTGGCTACAACAGCCAAGATGTTTCCAGAATGTCATGTTTTAAATTTCTTAAATATATACCTAGCAGGCACCTACACCAGGCATAATGCTAGAAAAATATTTTATTCAGTATTTTATAAACCTCCAACTTTTTTTTCCTCTTTTTTTATTAATTCAAGTTAGGGAACAAGCTTGTTTCACATGTAACTCCCTTCTCTCTCTCACTCTCCCTCCTCTCACCCCCATCCCTCCTCCCCCACCCACAACCTACCCCCACCCCATCCACCCACTACTCCCCAGGCAGGGTAGGGCCCTCAA